TGTTACAAAAGCTTTTTATTTCAGATAAATGCTGATCTTTGGATCTTTCTATTCATCAAAGAATCCTGAAAAAAAAATGTACTCAGCTGTTTTAAATATTGATAATCAGCAAATCAGCATATTAGAATGATTTCTGAAGATTTAAAATATTTCAACATTTTACTGTTTTTGCTGTACTTTGGATCAAATAAATGCAGGCTTGGTGAGCAGAAGAGAATTCTTTAAAAAAAACAAAAAAAAACATTAAAAATCTTACTGTTCAAAAACTTTTGACTGGTAGTGTAGGCTGATTATTCTTATAGATTGAAACAAATGTGCTTCAGCCAGAAAAAAGGGTATGAAAAGTGCTCCGAGTCGCTGCAGCAAACAAAAAAATTGAACAACAACAAAAACTGGAAATGTTGCTGGAGACGGGCTTATTTAAAATGAAAACTGATTCTCTGCCAACAGGAGGCGCTTTTAGAGTGATAAAACTAGCGGTTTCTCCAGTAATGGCTGTAATCAAAGCAGCTCCGCTCATGAACCCTACTTTATCAGATCAAATGAAAATGCCATCGAAACTTTTCTGAAGACAGTCAATTCCCTTCAGAGATACATTCATATAAAACACCCGCGCCGTGTTATGATTTTGACACGTGCAGTGCTCATGTTTATTCAACGAAGTCAAACGCCACAAATAAATCAATGTATGGGAAACTGGTAATTTATATCGAAATATCGGAAATGTGTTTAAAAATCATATCACCGTTATTGAAAAAATAATAGCCCAGCCCTAGTCATAATATAAGCTGTGATTAAGAAATCAAAAGAAGAAAACTAATATCATTACATAGAGCCATCTAGAGGCATTTCAACACCAATGCCGGTCCTAATGTGATATGACAGCTTCCTAAAATCAAAAAAAAAATCTCTTTCTTAAGTGTAGCTTCAGAAAACAAACCTGAGCTTGCTTGAGCTTCCTCAAGCATCTCTTCCTGTCATTATCTGTGACTCTCTAAACAGAGCCGGAGATCTCCAGAGGACGACTCCACAGGCTGACAGGTTTAAACTTAGTCCAGATGAACTGTGCTGCATGCAAATAAGGCAAAGCGTGTTATAATCACACGAGCATTATGCACGGCTCAATTAATGAACCAAACTGAGAATTATTGCATGCAAAGGAAATAAATGATTGAATAAATGCTAAATAATTAAATGTTTTCTGCATCAGCAAGAGAGCTTGCATCATACAGTATACTGCTTGTGTTTGCAAAACAGAACACAACCCCCCCCACACACACATCCACATCTAAAAATAACAAAATACTAGCTTTAAAAGGAATATAACAATAGAAGTGCACTGGTTGTAAAAGAATACTTCGCTGGGTCAGTGAGAGTGAGAAAAAGTCAAAATCTGCAAAATTCTGTGCAATAGGTTTTAATATGATAAAACATGCTCAATCAAGCTGAGCAGTACCTTTCTGGACGCAGATTATTAAATTAGGCAAAATATTAAATAAACATGCAAATAACAAGTGTAGATCTTGTGAACGATGGCTGCAAACTGCACAATGAAAAATACGACGATGTAATTTAAAAAAAATAAATAAAATGCGCGTGGCGTTTAAAAATCCATTTGTTCTATTTAGAATAGGAAAATAACCAACCAACACATTCATAAAGAGGGCATTCTCTCTCTATGACTTTAAAGTTTTGTTGACAGTTATTTCCTTTTTGCTGTGAATATTTCATACTTCATATATAATTATGTGTAGCAGGATTTTGGACCAATGAGATTTCCCTGTGGGCGGAGCTACTGAGTGCAATGTGACAGAAACAGAACTCAAAAATGCGACGGGCTCAGAATTATGTAAATCATGTCATACTGAGCCTGGTTAAAACAGTAATTATGATGCATTAATAGAAACGTGACTATTTACTGTAAGGAGAGTTTGTTTGTAAAGCTGCCTGTAGCCGTCAATAGTGCAGTTCAGAGAACCAGAGCTGACAAACACTAGTTGAGGGGTATTAGTTTAGTGACGTGCTAAGCGGCCTATGAAATGTTCTGTTTGATCTTCAGTCTGACACATTAGATGCGACTCATTGACATGCATGAAGAATATGAAGGCTCGCGTGGTTATCCTATAAAATAACTCCATCCCATGACCCACATCAAACCCACAAGGAGTAACAGAAAATACATAATTGAATACACAACACAGATTTTTTGCTCAGCATCTGAGCAGACAGTGTTTAAACACACACACAACCTTGAGTTGCAGGCCACTCTCAACCAATATGAAAATTGTACTGAAAACACAGATTCCCATGAGCAGACCAGCAGGCAGCATTAATGCACCTCAGTAAAGAAGATACCTTTACTGAGAACCAAACCTGCGAGTCCAGCCGGTGATCCCCACAGGTGCAAAACACACACACACATACGCAACACACACTCACAACTAATCAATGTTATTGATTCTCAGGGCCTGTAGTCAGTTTCTTGAGATAATGCAGAGAGCGATTCATTGTGAAGAGCCTCTTCATGGTAAACAGCTCAAACAATAGCAGAGTCAAAGGCCGCGGTGGAGTCACAGGTCGACAGCTGAAGTATAGCCGAGCTGTGGGGAGCATACGGGGAGGACTGTGTGTTTGTGGCCCTCTTCAGAATAGATAACCGCTGTGCCACTACAAAGACTCCAGGCATCTGGCAAGGCTGGCATGGGCGAACAAAAGGGCAAAAGGACTAAGACCGAGTGGCAAGAACCAGTCACAAAAGAGCCAAGCTGCCATCCATTC